CCTTCCATCTCTCCCTCTGCTGTTACTGTCTGTGAGCTCCTCAAGAGTGGGCAGGGTAGGTGAGGGTGGGGTAGGTGGGGAGTGGGAGAGGCGGGGGCTGGCAGGGCCCCTCCCTTTGTGAATACTGAGCAGTAGAACTTGTTTCTTCTCTTCGTCCATTCCCAATGGCTGCCTCACCAGGCTTGGACAGAATGACAGATCTCGTTAACTAGTCTGGAGCCTGACTCAGTTCTCCTAAGCCCTCCTGTCCCTGACGCTCTTCCTGGCACATGCCCCATTCCCATTTTGCAGGGGACAAAACAGAAGCACTTGCCCACATTTTAGTCCTGCCCTGCAAAAGACAGGTCCTGATTCCCACCCAGGTTGCATGACCCTGCATCAGACCTGGATGTTCTGAGGTGAGCAGGCCCTTCCCACCAAGCCTCCTTTCTGACTGGCCTCCCTAGGCTCTGTGCCCAGGCTTTTTGCACTGTCCAGCCCCATTGCTTCTGCTTCCTGGATAAACTGTGGGTCAGCTTACTCTAGACCTTCTGAGGCCACAGCTGCACCCTGATCTTTGAGATGGCTCTCAAGAAGTCACCTTTGCAAGTCCTGTGAGTCTGGAGCAAGGAGTAAACTGCCCAAGGCATGTAGAAACCCACAGAAAGATCAGCTATGATCTTCTTGTCTGGTACCCTTTGCATGATGGGAAGACAGAAGCCAGGGAAGGAAGAAACAGGTCCACTGAAGCCCCAGCCTGCCTCATAAAGGTCTGGAGACCCTACCTCTCCATCTTGGTTGTTGTTTTCAAGACAGGGTTTCTCTGCGTAGCCCTGGTTGTCCTGGAACTGGCTCTGTACACAGGCTGGCTTTAAACACAGAGATCCACCTGCCTCTGCCTCCTGTGTGCTGGGATTAAAGATGTGTGCACCACCACTGCCCTGTGCCATCTTTAGCTCTACCTCACTTCAGCCTTGGACACCGAGGCAGCTGCCTCATCTCCTCTTTGGGCTCCTCCATGTCACTGACAGGGCTCAAGGTGGACCATGGTCTGACCCTTAGATGACACTTGGCCTTGGCCTCAATGCCACATTCTTCCTCTCTACTGCCACCGTAATAACTGCACGTGTCCTCCTCACCTTTGTTCTGGGTGGTCTTGTAGCTCAGCTCTCCCCACTCACCTTGGCCTGGGTCTGTCCTACCCATGCTAAGGGCACCACTCAGGTCACTTCCTCCAGGAAAGCTTTCTGACCATGCTGTTTGGGTGCCCTGGGCTTCCTGCTACTCCCCTAATGCTGATGAGCCTCCCTGCCACTCTGCCTTGTTCCACATCTGGGCTGTGAGCTGCCTGGCCAGCCAGACTAAGAGCTTCAAGGCTGAGGGGTTGGAGTAAGAAAGAGGCGCAAGAGCCCCAACCTCTTGGCAGGGGATGTGGGGTTCACACTGAGAAGGGGGACACAGATGATTCTGAGTGGAAGGGGTGATGATGTCTGTGTCCACAGAGTCATGTGGAAGCTTTTTATGGAACAATCTGATAATTCTTCCAGAGGAGACCCCAGTTTCAGCATGGAGGGATGGGAGTCTTGTGTGTCCGTCCATTCATGTTTCACACCCTTCCCCTGAGAAGCTGGCCTGTCCAGCCATGGTTAGGACTTTTCTCTCATCCTGGGATATTCCATGTGCTATGCCTACAAATGCTTCAAGGCAGATAGCATATCTCTTCATCTTTTGAAGATACCACCTTGTCCAATCAAGGGAAATCTTACTGAAAAGAGGCCAGTGACAAGGAGGCCTGCCTTGCCCTCCCTTGAGCAGCAGGGTGGCCTGGGTCACACTGACCCAGGAGAGCGGGGCAGAAGGAGTGGAGGGATGCAGATGCCCATCCAATCTGATGGCTGTGCAGGCCGGTTGGATCACCACAAGCCAGACTTCCTGCCAGTGACCTACATTTCTCTAGCGCCTCCATGTGCAGACAGATGAGAGTGTGTGGGAGCCTGTAGGAGAGGGACAGTGTCCCAGCAAAGGGACTCCGTGGCTGCAGAAACTCTTATGTGAGCCTGTGAAGGTGTGATAGGGCCTTTTGGATTAGCACAATCCCCATAGGCTAAGTCTGTCCAGAATGACCAGACCAAGGTACAACGGCTGCTGAAAAGGCTGAGGTGCGCGTCTTCAGAGCACCCCAGTTCTGTCCAGTTCTCCCCCCCCCCCGCCCCCGAGGGGTCTCTTGTTGCCCTTCGCTCTTGGCAGGATACTGGATATGAGGTGGAAGGTTCCATTAACCCCATCAGTGCTGGCAGGAGGAAGTAGAGAAGGGAGAGAGGCAGGGAGCAGGCAGGGGAGAAGGGAAAGGGGCAGTCTTCAGAGGGAAAAGGCTTTGGGTCTGGCCTTGAAGCCCAGGTGGCTCAGGGCCACATTAAGTCTGCTCTATGGGCTTTGGTACCTGGGGAGGAGGCAGAAGGAGTCCCTCCCTCCCAGTGAGGCCTGTCCTTGAGGGAGGGGCAGGGTGAGCTCCATGGCAGGAACTGGCATGTGCCCTGCTGAGAGATACCCATCCCACCCATCCTAAGGCTTGCTTCTGCCAGCTCTGGAGGGCAGTGGGTAGCTGTCGACCTCTGTGGGCTCTTCTTTCAGACTGCCCTCTGACGTTGCAGAAGGCACGCGCACCTTCTTGGTCTGTCTCCGTCTCTTGGTCTCTCTGTGTCTCCGTCTGTCTCTGCCTCCCACAGCGGTACACAGGCCTCACCCCCTGGCTGAGGGCCTACGATGTGAAGCAACAGTAGCACAGTAGGGCACACTCCTGCTCCCATGCCCATTCCTGGTGGAGGCCAGTCCTGCTTTATGGGTTTGTACCCTCTGCCTGGGGATCCCCTGCCAGTCTCCCCATCCTTTCCAGCTGCCTCCCCTGTGCAGTCTAGGTCAGTCTCCCTGCTCTGGTCTCTGCTTTCCCACAGGGTCCTTGACACCCCTCTGTCCCTCAAAGGGCATTGACTAATGCCAGTCCTGAGCCTGGATTGTAGCTCCCAAGGTCCCATCATCTTCTGGGTCCCCTGGACTGGGAGTCCCGGGAGTCCCAGGGAACTTGCATCAGCTCTCTGCCACTTCTCAGGTGTGTGGCACTGGGAAAGTAGAGGGACTTTCCTGAGTCTGACTTTGCTACCTGTGAGATGGGATGACAGCCCCAGTCACTCCCAGTGTGGCGTGTGTTGACTAGAGGGGAAGTGCTGGTTCTGGTGAGAAGTCCAGAGGGAGCACAGGCCACCTGGGCAGTCCCTGTTGGTACTTGTGGTTGTTGGCATCATGATATCCCCACATCCTGTCTTTTCTCCAGACTCCTCCCTCAGCCAAGCACCCTGTCCCCAACTCGGAGGACGACTTCCCTGAGCCCTTTCTCACCTCCCTCTCTTCACCCTCCTCTTCTTGTGCTTCTGCAGCCCCCACTGGGACCCATTCTGCCCGAGGTCCTGCCCTAGACAGAGGATCTTTCTACTGTGATCCCACATTCCTCAGCCCTGTCTCCCTCACGCATTCTGCTCAGGGTTCCAAGGCCGTCCTGTCACACCCGATGGTCTCTCCCTGCTGTGCACACACACCGTGGGGCCCTGACTTTCAAGCTCTCCCTTGCATGTTTGTTGGGTGAAAGATGAGTGACGGAATGACTTGGTGAAAAGTACTTGGCACTATAAAGGGCCCATTTGGACCCTTTGATAATCCAGTGCATGGAGAGATATTAAACAGCATTTGGAGCCTCCAGAGACAAGACCTAGCCTCATCTGACAGAAGTGAGGCCCTCCTTGGTGGCCGGAAGGAACTTGAGTCCAACAGAAGAAGAGGCTGGAGGAGGCCCTGGTGGGGAGGGCCTTCAGCCTGGAGCAGGAGACTTCAGCCTTCAACTGCTCTTCATGGTAACTGTTGGGGTAGGGTGGTGCTGTCCTGTGAATTATAGACTTTACTTTGTATAGTTCAGCTGGGACAAAGATGTCCCTAGACATGGCCAAGTTAAGTACCCCTGTCACTGGGTATCATGGTGCCAATCAGTTTTCCAACACCCAGGAGGCTGCAGAGCAGAGAAAGAGGGTCATGGATTACAGGACAGGTAGAAAGAGAGGGAGAGGGAGGGAGAAAGGGAGAAAGAAGGAAAGAGAGCAATTACATGCTAGTGTACCATCATCTGTCCTGGAGCAGAAGCGCTACGGAAGGGCAGTTGAGCAGGGAAGGACGGACAGGGTAGCACACTGTAGCTAGGAACAGTCTAAACCTCTCTCTGTTGATGGGACCGCCTCGTCCTTCAGTTGACCTTGGGCTCATTAAGATCAAGCTAGGGCTGAGGGCCAAGCTAGCTGCCTGGTGAACAAAAGAGCCTGTATTTGGAGAAAGGACCATTAGCCAGGGCCAAGGGGCCTGTGGGGCTGAGGAACGGCTGTGGGGAGCAGAAGCAAGATAAGGGGCTAGAGGGCAGTAGGAGCCGTCCTCTTCACAGCCTGAGTCTTCAAACCACAGCTCTACCCAATGGAGGCAGGGTGTTGAACTCCTGCCCCAAGGTGAGGGGTGAGAGGTCAGAGGCCACATTCCAGGTAGAGCGGGATGGACAGAAGGCAGCCTGAAACCTCCAGCCCTATGTCCATGTGCTGTGCTTCAGAGGGAATCAGGCTGTCTGGACTGTGAGTGTGTGTTTTGGAGGCTGGAAGGATAGATGGGGTTAGGAAGCTCACAGCCCCGCCCCCTTCCGTATATGGTCAGATGAACTGCCAAATCCAGGTCTTGTCCATCATCTTCCCGACTTGAGACCTTCATTGGCTCCCTATAATCCTCAAGATTCATCTTTAGATCTTGAACAACCCCTAAAGGTCCTTGACAACCCTGGGAAGCTAACTTCCCCTACCTGCAAGGGTCACCAAGTCCAGGCCAGGCTTCGGCCAGACTGAGTGGCTGACAGTTCCTTAAACAGCTCCTCCAATACTTCCTGCCTGTCAATTCTGGGCTCAAAATGTTGCATCCTCTTCACCTGCCTTGCCCAAACTCACCAGCTCCTACTCATGTGTTCATGTCCCTTTGGTGCCCATATCCTCTAGGAGGCCTTTTCAGCCTAGTGGCAGTACCAGGGGTGTGGATGGTGCCAGCCACTTCAGGAGGCAGCAGTCTGGGAGGAGGGGGAGGCCTGCCAGAAGGCAAGTGGTGATTGCTCCATTCTTCTGCAGTCTTGGGCCTGCAACAGAAAGTGGAAACCAGGGTCCCTGGTTAGAGGAAGGCGAGAGACGATAAGGAGGATTAAAATGACAGAGAGAAAACGGGCAACCAGAGTCAGGGCATAGCCCGTCTTTCCTTCTGGCCATCAGGGCGTGGAGCTTGGGGACAGGCATTGCTAGACAGCTCACACCCCAGAGGCAGCAGCATGGGTCCAGCTGCTTTTGTTGAGGATCCTCTAGGATTTGACCCTTAGGCGGCCACAAGGATAGATAGACAGGTGTTCAGAGATGGGGTAGGACCCAGGTAGGCACATCTCAGCCCACACAGGACTGCAGGTAACATCAGCCCTCACAAGACCCAGGTCCTAGACTTGGGGAACCCCAGGATCCAACAGACTCCATGTCTGAGAAGACACGCAGGGCTGTGAACTGGCGTGGCCCCTTTCATTAACCCAGCTTCCATCAGATCACCTTCCTTTGGTTTCTTGGTTTTCATTTGAAATGGGAGTTCTGAACTGGGCATGGTGGCCTGAACCTACAATCCCAGCACTTGATAAGTGGAGGCTGGAAGACCAAGAGTCCAAGGTTTTCCTTGTTTACATAGTCTGATGCCAGCTTGGGTTGCAGAAGACTCTGCGGTGGTTTGAATAAGAATGGTCCCCACAGGCTCATATATTTGAATGCTTAGTCACCAGGGAGTGGAACTGTATGAAGGGATTAGAAGGATTAAAAGGTGTGGCCTTGGTGGGGAAGTGTGTCACTGAGAGTGGGCTTTGGGGTCTCAAAAGCCCACACCAGGCCCAGTCTGTCTGCTCCTGCCTCTCCTCTGTCTCTGCCTGCAGATCAGGATGTAGCTCTCAGCTACTGGACTAACCCTCTGAAACTGTAAGCAAGCCCCCAGCTAAATGCTTTCTTTTATAAGAGTCACCTTGGTCATGGTGTCTTTTTACAGCAATAAAACAGTGACTGAGACAGACTGTCTCAAAAAAAGACAAACAAACAAAAAAAATAACTTCCCTCCACCTCCTCCCCACAAAACGAGGTGAAACAAGAGTTCTGCAGCTTGTTGGCTTAAAGAGCTGGTTTTAAAACCTGGAAATGGAAACCCCTGTACTGGGAGGTCAAGAGGACTGTTGAGTTCCAGGCCAGAAGTCCATAAAAAGAGCCTTACCCCTCTGCTCTTGTAGAGATGGGAAGGCAAAGCCTAGAGAGGCCTGGGTGTGTCCTCAGTCCTCAGGGAGAGTGGTGACCCTTCCTGTGGAACCAGGCCACCCTCTGCCGGAAGCGCAGACGTGGACAAGTGAGCATATCTAACAAACACGGGATGACAAGAGGAGACACTTGGCTTCCGACTGAGGAGTGGGGGATGGGGAGGAGGCATGCTCAGAAGCTGGAAGCAAAGAACAGAGCTGGGCGGCTTGGCATGCCTCATTGAATGCCATGTACCCTCTGCCTGAGCTATCCACGTGCTTGACGAGTTTCTATGGACAAGGCTGCACTGGGTTTAGAATTAGAATCTTGGTTCAATTCCTGACTCTTCCATCTCCTCACTACATCCACTTTGGCCAGATCCACATCCTCTGAGACATCTTCTTCCTTCCTCCCCAAAAGGTAGTAATCCCACTTCTGAGTAATTGTAAAAAGGGACTGAATGCTTCCTCAAGATCCTTTTATTTTATTTTATTTTTTAACGAGATGAGTCTCTCTCTGAAGCCCCGACTGGCCTGAAACACAAAGAAGGCAGGCTGGCCTTGAACTCAGAGATCTGTCTTCCTCTGCCTGTGCCACCATGCCTGCCTCAGGATTATTATTCTGCTCCCCGCTGAATAGCGTACTCAGTGTGTGACCTGAAGTAAATGCCTTATCCTCCTGGCCTCAGGGACCCCATCTGCACCCAGGGCCAGGGCAGCAGGCGTCTCCTCCACCGAACGCAGCATCTTAGTAAGTGTTAAAACAGCTTCGATTGGTTCAACTCCATGATTATCATTAGTTTTACCCAAATAGCAGCAGCGTCTGGGCTTGCTGAAAAACAAGGTAATCAATGAATGGGAGGGAGCTCAGGACTCTCCCAGGAAACCCCTGATGGCTCAGACTCCACCTAGTGCTTCCACTGAGTGGCCACCCTGGCTTCCTGTGGCCCTGCCACTGTTAGCATTTTTCTTTCAACACATGGAGGTAGGATCCATTCTGCCCCGAGATGACTCTGGGTGATAAAGAGGGAACTTTAGGTTCCTGGAATCCAATCTTCTCTCCAGAAAGCGCAACCAAGCTGGAAGTTAGAATTGCCCTGAAGCTGATGGTTCTAGGAGGGTGCCTCCTGGCCCTAAAACTAAATTAGACCAAGGTACCTCTGCTACTACCACATAATTCCCCACGATTACAGCAGGCAGCCATGAATCCTGATGGTGGCTGAACTTCAGGTGACTTACTCCCCAAAACTGCAAGACTTGCAGGCTCATCTAATCGCTTCTCTACAGCGTTGCAGGCAGGCAATTATGCTAATGGGCCTTTAAAAAATCACCTTTCTGGTCTGGGATTGGGAGGGCTTGAAGCAGAAATGTGAGCAGTGGATACTTCCAGCAGCAGAGGCTGGCTGCCATGTCTGATTCCAAGGAGACCCTTCGTCAAGAGGGGGAGAAACCCCGTTACGCAGCTAGACTAATAGTGGCTGCATTCTCGTCTCTTCAGATCTGTACACACATTGTTGGGTCTCAGCCCCCTGAGAAGCAAGCACACAGCAAAGACTCAGGACCTTTTAGCTAATTCAAGCATGCAGGTGTAGTGCTCTAGGTTCTAGGCAGAGCTCTGGCCACTGGGAGACTACCAACACTCAAGAGTGATTCTCATGCTTTCTAGATGAACCTTACAAGGAGGAAGCAGTACTGTCCTAGTCAGGGTTACTACTGCTGTGACAAAACACTGTGGCCAAAGCAACTAGAGAGGAAAGGGTTTATGTGGCTCACTTTCACATTGCTGTTCATCATTGAAGGAAGTTGGAACAGGAACTCAAACAGGGCCAGAACCTGGAGGCAGCAGCTGATGCAGAGGCCATGGAGGGGTGCTGCTTACTGGCCTATTCCCCAAGGCTTGCTCAGCCTGCTTTCTTATGGAACCCAGGACCACCAGCCCAGGGATGGCCCCACCCATCATGGACTGGGCCCTCCCCTAATGAAGACTATTGGGGTCCAGCCCCTCTATAGTCTTTTCCTAGACTTCCAGAAGAGACACTACCAGTGGCAGATTAATTAATCTGAGGGATTATTGAATAAATTTACCTATATGAAACTCTTTAGTCCATTCACTTTATTCTTCTAAGTCAAAATCTCTCTACAGAGCTTTAATTTTGTTCTCATACTTAGCTCCTCTCTGTCCCTTTCTCTCCTGTCCTCTCACTGTTCTAAGTTCCTTCCATCTTTGTTCTCCTCTCTGTCTCTGTCTCTGTCTCTCTTGTCCAGTTTAAATACACATACAATCAGCAATTCTCTGGCTCTGCCACTTTCTGCTCAGGCGGGGCAAGTCTCTTGGTAGCTGGGAAGCCTACGTCATAGCTGGATGCACCTGGTATGTGTAAGCCCTTTGTTCTGAGTTAATTGTTAAAGGGAAAGCCTAGAGATACCACTTGGGCTATGGAAGAAAGGCTTAAGCCTAATTTGTACAAGAAGCTAAGGTTTGTACCTAACATCTGCCTAGCCTTGTTGTCTCTGTATGGATATTTACCTTAATTTGGGAGACTAGCAGGTTGTCTGGAATGCTTGTCTATCTGCATTTTGTCCTTGGATGCTAAGAGGTATCCCAGATAAAGTTCCCTGGATACTTGCTAATGGAGATAATTACAGAAGGCAGATATCTGAGTCTAATGCTAACAACAGGAAACAAAAGCCTGGAAAAAGGAAGTCTTGCCTGTGTCACAGTTGGGAGAAGTATCCAAATACCTCAAATGTATAGGGAAATAGAGCCCAGTGAATGATCAAACACACTGGTCTAGGAATGGAAAAGCTACAATAGCACATGAGAAATTCATAGCAGGAAACAGCTAATATTCAAAAGCCAATATCACCGAGACTCCTTAAGTCTTGGCTTTATCCTCTGGAAAGGCCCTTGGCTTCTTCCAGGTATTAGCTTTTGCCATAGTTAGCTGAATTCCTATTTTATATTTCTATGGCCGGCAGCATTCCCCCATCAACCACTAATTAGGAAAATGCTCTAGGCTTGCTTACAGCCCATCTTATAGAGGCATTTTCTTTTTCTTATAGAGGCATTTTCTTTTTTCTTTTTTATAATTCATTTAACTTTATTTTATGTTCATTGGTATAACAGTGTCAGATCCCAGGGAACTGGAGTTACAGACAGTTGTGAGCTGCCAAGTAGGTGCTGGGAATTGAACCCAGATTCTCTGGAAGAACAGCCAGGGCTCTTAACTGCTGAGCCATCTCTCCAGCACCAAGAGGTATTTTCTTAATTGAGATTCCCTCCTCTCAGATGACTTTAGCTTGTGTCAAGTTGACATAAAACCGGCCAGTGCAAGTACCATGCACATTTTATGTTATTATTTACTTATTAGTTTGTCGGTTTACTTATTTATTGTGTAGCCTTGGCTGTCCTGGAACTAGCTCTGTAGAACAGGCTGGCCTTGAACTTACAGAGGTCTGCCTGCCTCTGCCTCCCAAGTGCTGGGATTGATGGTCAGTACCACCACTGCCCAGCAATAATTATTTTCTTAGGTTGTTGTTTTACTACCTGCCTTCTCCTAAGGAGCCAACCCTACTTTCTTCTTGGAGTAAAAGAAAAGCCATGGCCATGGCCCCCTCTGATTCCTGGCCTATCTCTTTCTGACATGGCCCCCTCTGATTCCCAGCCTATCTCTTTCTGACATTGCCTCCAGTTTCTGCTTCTGTCTTAGGTTAACCCACTTTCTCCTCTCCATCATCTTTTCTTCCTTTTTATTTTATTTATTTCTACTTAAATTTCTATTTACTTTACGTGTATGAGGGTTTTGTCTGCATGTATGTCTGTGCACCAT